GGGGGGGGGTCAGAGGAACTGGAGCCAGCAGGTGGCATGGTGATTAAGGCACTGGACTCCCACATGGCTGATGGTAATTTGAAAACTGGAACTGGTGGTTTGTTTTCTCACTCCCCATCCAATCTGATTCTCTCTGCTGAGCACACGTTCCCTCTGGCAAACTTAAAGTAACAACAGACCAGCAGACGGTGTAGTCATTACACCACTGGACTCCCATATAATTGATCGTGGTTTGAGTCCTGGACCCAGCAGCCTAGAACTCACGCCAGGTGTATGTGTATGTGTGCCCAAAATCCCGAGAGGAGAATAGAGAAAGGACTGCGGAGTGCCCATCCTCCCTGAGAGATGATTCCTCACTTTCTGTCTCTGTCTCCCTAATAAGTGCATGCACCAAATAGCAAAAATCTCTAAATAAAAATAATAACAATAAATTAATTAAAATAAGGTGAGACAAACATCAGGCTTTTTTTAGGATAACGTCCTAAAAGAGATCCAAAGAACATTAAAATTGAAGACGAGGTTTCTGCTGAGAAAACCTTTATAGACTCGGTAGCGTTTGAACTGGTACAGAAACAACAGGAGTTAGTTGGGGGGGGAGATAACTCAGGGCTCAGTCAACAGGTGGCATGGTGGTTAAGGTTCTGGATCCCCCATAGTCAACTTGATGGCCTGAGTCCTACATTCGGCAGTTTGAAAAAATACACCAGGCACATATACATGCATACCCAAAATCCCAAGAAGACAATGGAAAGGGATTTTGGCATGGCCGTCCCATTCTGTCCTCATGCTGCAGACCACAGCTTCTGAGCTACATCCCTAGAGTGTGCCAGTGGGCCATGTGCATCCTCCACCTCTCCACACTGTCATTTTCCTTCCTGGAGCCTATGTGATCACTTAACGCTGAGATCTGAACAGCCTGCTAACGGTCCACTGTCTGTCTCCTCCCCTAGACTGAGCCCATGACAGTAGGAAATTAAGGATTTTGATCACTGATCAAACTCATTACTCCTTAGACAGAAAGTGCCCAGAAAATTTATACTACATCAGTTCTGTGTGGACTTATTACAGGAAAAGTGTGAAGTTCAGCCTCAGGCCAAGGCTGAAATCCCAGACATGCCACTCAGGAGCTGTGTTTGTCTCCTGCTGTCTCTGCAACAAGTCACTGTGCATGCAATAGCTCAATGACACAACTACCGCCGCACAGCGCTGCAGGTCAGAATCTGAAGTGGGCCTCACAGGCCAAAACCAAGGTGTCAACAGGGTTGTGTTCGCTGCTGAGGTTCTAAGAAGATCCATTTCCCATTTTCCAGCTTTTAGAGGCTCTTCTCTCCACCCCTATACCTTGGCTCAAGGCCCTTCCCCTGTCACAGCAGCAACGGCAGGTCAAGGTTCTCACACCACATCACATCACTCTGACCTCCTCTCCTGCCTCCCTCTTCCACAGTGAACGACCCAGTAATCCCAACGTGCCCACCTGGACAATCCAGAATCTCCGTATTGTAAGGTCAGCTGATTAGCAAGAGTAACCCCCCTTTGTAATATAGCGTAATAGGTTCTGGGATTATAAGGTGGGGACATCTTTGGGGCTGAGATTCTACCCTCCACCCTAGTCACTGCATGACCAGTCAAGTTACCAGTCTTGGTTTCATCATCTCTTTAAGGTAGAAAAATTACCAAACTTACAAATTACCAGTCTTACAAATTATTACAGGACATCCTCCAAAGGGTCTAGCAGTCGTTCAGCACACAGTAAGCGAGTAACAGGTGCCACTATTTTTCACAGGCAATGCATTCTCATGCTGGAGTGAGACTTAAGGGAGGCACATCTTTTTCAAGGTGAGTAAAGTGATGTTAAAACCTAATATAGGGAACCAGCAGTTAGCGTAATGGCTATGTCGCTGGACTCCCACATAGTCGACCGCGGTTTGTATCCCAGACCCGGTGGCTTAAAACTCACGCTGGACGCGTGTGCATGCGTGCCCAAGATCCCGAGAGGAGAATGGAAGAGAAGGGACTGCGGCGTGACCATCCCCCCTGGGGGGTGATTTCTTGCTTTCTGTCTCTATGTCTCTCTCTGTCTGTCTGGTGAGCGCACGCGCTCTACAGTGAAAATCTCTCAAAAAAAAAAAACACCTAATATAAAATTGCTATTTTTACAGGTCAAACGTGACTATCAGCAATTTCTTCAATTTTAACCTAATGGAAACAAAACAAAACAAAACTCCATGTAGGCATCCAGTGCCTTAACCACCAGAACACCCACCCCCCCATTTTATTTTCTATTTTTCATTTACAAAATAATGTTTATATTGTGGGGCCTGTGATTTTCCATTACAAATTCTGGAACAAGTTTGTGTCTGGAAAAAAACCTTGTTGAAATTCCAGTAGCCATTGTATTAAACCTGTATGTCAATTTGGGGAGAACTGGCATTTTTACCATGTGGAGTTTTTCTAATCCTTTAAAAATGGTATCTCTCTTTTATTTAGGTCATCCTGGATTTCTTTCATCAGATTTTGTAATTTTTTTTTAAGTTTATTCTCATGATAGAGAATGTGCATACATGTACGAATGAAGGAGAGACAGAGAGAAAAGCGTGCTCGGCAGTATGGTAGCAGGCTCTGATCCCGCCCCCTCTTCTCAGCTAATCAGGACCTTGGACATGCATATGCCTAGCATATTTTCAAGCCAACCTGTGGAGCTGAACCCATCCGTCATGTGGCTTCTAGAGATGCAGTTGAGTTTGGTACCAATTATACCATGAAGCTAGGCTTATTTTATAATTCATAAGAGCCTTCCCTATTGCTTTTAAGTTCTGTTTCATAGGTGGTAACAGTGTTCCCCTAAAGTAACTTAAAATTAAATGAGTTGACACTATTTTAAGTGTTACAAAATGTATTGCTTTTTAAAGTGCAAATAAGACATTTAGCCCTAAAAGATTATTTTAAAAGAAATCTGAGGCCAGCAGGTGGGGTGGCTGTTAAGGCGCTGGACTTTCACAGTCAATCACGGTTTGAGTCCTGGATGTAGCAGCTTAAAAACTCATGCCGGGTGCATGTGTATGCGTGCCCAAAATCTCAAGAGGAGAAGAGAAGAGAAGGGATTGCAGAGTGGCCATCTCCCCTTGGGGGAAATATCTCACTTTCTGTCTCTGGTGAGCAAGCACATGCACCCAATACTGAAATTCTCTAAATGAGAATAATAATATAATAAATAAAATAAGGTGAGACAAACATCAGGGCTTTTGTAAGACAATATCCTAAAAGAGATAGAATGAAAGTTACATTAAAATTCAAGACAAGAAGAGATTTCTTCTGAAAAAAGATGTAGACATGGTAGCATTTGAACTGGTACAGAAACAACAGGAATTAGTTCCGGGGAGAGAATCATACACCCATAGCTGACCATGATTTCAGCTCTGGTGGCTTAAAAATCAAGCCAGGCAGCGGTGTAGGGGTGTGTGTGTACCCAAAATCCCAAGAGGAGAATGGAGGAGTAGGGACTGTGGCATGGCCATCCTTCTGGGAGTTGATCTCTTACTTTCCCTCTCTCATCTCTCTCTCTTTTTCTGCTAAGGCATATGGTAAAAACTTAAAGAAAAAAAAGAAAAGTAACAGGAAGGTGAAGGGCAGCCAGTGTGTGGCGGTTAAGGTGGCTGAATACCACATACCTCACTGTGTGGTTTGAGTCCCAGATTTGGCAGTTTGTAAAACATGAATACATGAGTACATGCCCAAATTCCCAAAAGGAAGGAGAAATGGAAGAGAGATCGTGGTATGAACATTCCTCTTGGGGGAAAGAGCGCTTTCTTACTTTCCCTCTCTCTTTCTCTAGTAAGCACACATACTCTCTGGAAAATTCAAAAAAGAAAATGGGAAAACTCACTCAGCTCAATGTAAAGCTAACTGTATAGCCATAGTCAAAAAGATAGCATGGTTCTGACAAGAGGACAAACAGATGAACAGATGAGAACAGATAACCCAGGAATAGACTCACAAAGATATACCCAATTGATTTTTTTTTACAAAGGCACAGAAGTAATTCTATGGAAATTTGGCAACAATTTCATGGCTATGACATCAAAAGCAATAAAAGAAAATTTAGATAAAGTGGACTTCATTAACATAAAGAATTTTTGGGAACCAGCAGTTAGCGTAATGGCTATGTCGCTGGACTCCCACATAGTCGACCATGGTTCGAGTCCTGGACCCGGTGGCTTGGAACTCACGCTGGGCGCGTGTGCGTGCATACCCAAGATCCCGAGAGGAGAATGGAGGAGAAGGGATTGCAGCGTGACCATCCCCCCTGGGGGGTGATTTCTTGCTTTCTGTCTCTATGTCTCTCTCTGTCTATCTGGCAAGCACATGTGCCCTATAGCGAAAAAACCTCTTAAAAATAAAAAACAGAAAGAAAGATTTTTTTTTCATCAAATGACATGACAATAAAGGAAAAAGGCAACCCATAGAATATGAGAAAATATTTACCAATCACGTATCTTACAAGAAACTGATTTCCAGAATACATAAAGTCCTCCGACTCAACAAGAAAACGCCAAACCTCATTAACCTTAAAAGATGGGCAAAGGACCTAAATGGAATGTTATTTCTCCAAAGAAATTTTTTTTCTTTTTTTTTGGAGAGGTTTTTGCTAGAGGGTGCGTGCACTTGCCAGAAAGATAGAGAGAGACAGAGAGACAGAAAACGAGAAATCACCCCCCCTCCTGGGGGGGATGGCTACGCTGCAATCCCTTCTCCTTTCTCCTCTTGGGATCTTGGGCATGCATGCACACGCGCCAGGCATGAGTTTAAGCCACCAGGACTCAAACTGTAGTTGAACATGGGAGTCCTGCTGGTCCCTCTCCAAAGAATTTAAACAATGGTCATCAAGCACATGAAAATATGTTCAACATTACTAACATCAGGAAAATGCAAATCAAAGCTGGAATGAGATACCACTTCACATCCATGAGGGTGTCTACTGGCAAAGAGCCAAGCAATATGTGCTGGCGAGGAAGTGAAGAGGCTGCAATCCCGGTACACTGCTGGTATAATGTAAAATTGTGCAGCCACTATGAAAGACATTATGGCTGCTCCTCAAAAACTTAGAAACAAAACTCCATAGCATCTAGCAAACACCCTTCTGAAAAAAGAAAGAAAAGGAGAGCAGGGCTCACAGATGGCATGCTGGTTAAGGCTCTGGACTCCCACATGACTGACCTTGATTGACGTCCTGGACCTGGTGGTGTACTTTCTTACTCTGTCTCTCTCTGGTCAAATTAAAAAATAATAATAATAAATAAAATTATTTAAAAAAAAAAAAAAAAAGGCAAGGCATCTCAACATATACTTGTCCTCTAATGGCAGTACTACTGACAATAGTCCAAAAGAAGAAGCAAACCAAGTGCTCGCTGATGGATGAATGAACAAAATGTGGTTTGTTCATACGATCTGTTCTAGGAGCTCATGAAGTAGTTATCAATGTCCTTACTAGTTTCTATTGGGTCTTATTTGTTTGTTTTAATACTTTGACTGCTCTTTATCTCTTGGTTGGAGAGTAATGTCCATATGCATTTAAAGTAATTTTTAATAAGGACTTATTATTGCCCTTGTGCTGTTTACTGACTTTGACCGTTCCTTTGTTTCTTTCTTCCTCTCTTGCTTATTTTTTTTTAAAGAAAGATATTCGAGGTTATTCAAGCTTAAAAAGGAAGAAAATCCGGGTAAGCAGGTGGCATGGTAGTTAAGGCACTGGATTTCCAACTAAGGCCAACTACGGTTTGAGTCTCGGACCTGGTGGCTTGAAAATCACAGGCACATGTACATGCATGCCCACAACCCCAGGACGAGGATGGAGAAGGGGCTGCGGTGTGGCTATCCCCCCGAAGGATGATTTCTCACTTTCCCTCTCTCTCTTCAGTGAGTGCACAAGCCCTATGGCAAAAAACTAAAAAAGGAAATTCTGATCCCTGTTACAACATGGATGAATCTGGAAGACACCATGCTAAGTGAAATAAGCCAGATGCAAAAAGCTACACACTGTGTGTTCATTTGTGTAACTCGAAATAACAAATTTACAGATGGAGATAGGTCACTGCTTATTGGGGTGGGGAGATGACTATGGCTATAGAAGGACAGTACAAGATAGTTGCTTCAAGATACAGAATCTAATCAGTATCTTGACTACAGTGGCACATACACGTGTTCCAGAGCTCCACAGAATTAAATAAACATACAGATGCGTGCACATGAAACTGGTAAGATCTGACAGGGTGAGCGGCTGATGTCAACATGAACATCCTATTGTGTTACCATCCTATAGTTATGAATAACATCATTGTCATTGGAAATGGGAGGGCATAAGGGTCTCTCCGAATTACTTTTCACAACTGCATGTGGATTCTCAATTTGATTTAAAAACTCAAAAAAATAAAAAGCAAAATATGGTTAGACTTATATATTGAAATAGAAAATGGAAATCAAGTGAAAACAGGCAATACCTTCTTCCATGGACTTTGTGAAGTTACTCAGAAGTGAAGACAACCCGTTCAGACATCCTGCCACAACAAGTAATTTGGGCTCTCTTACTGTCGACGTCATCTAAAAGAAAAGTTTTAGAAAGATATTGTTCAAAGAGGAAAGCACAACTAAGTCTATGGAAGCAGAATATCATAAAGTTGGTCATACCTGGGTCTTCAGTTCACCCAGAAAAGCCCGGAACAGGTTTTCAGAATTACTTATCATCTCAGTAGGATGAACTTCGCCTAACACTCCTAAGAGCTCATATATTTTTTCTAAAACTGCAAACAAAATTTTAGACAAATGAAAGTCTAAAACTACATTTAAATGACCTAAATTAACAATATTGTAAGAATAGTAAAATGTTTATTTCAAAAGCAACTTTGCAATACTAAATACAAGATAACTAATTTTATACACCAGAATCTTTACCTATAAGTTTTAAGGAAAGCTACTATCATAAATTATATTTGACATGTGCTATGAATTTTTTATTTAAAGAAACCATTTTGTGGGGTCAGCAGGTGGCGTGGTGGTTGAGGACGCTGGACTCGTACATGGCCAACTGCAGTTTGAATCCCGGAATTGGTGAATTGCTTTCACTCTTACTCTCTCTCTCTCCCCGCCCCCCACCCCATCCCTAGTCCCTCTCTGGTCAAAAATAAATAAATAAATAAGTAAATAAATAAATAAACTTAAATAGAATTTTAAGAAGAGGAATCATTTTGTTGTGCCTAACGTTTTTACACGTGGAAGACTTCATACCCTGTTTTGTTTCCATTTTGACTTGTTTAATAAAAAGAAACCATGGTGAAATATATAAAGACCTTGGCAGTGGAAATCTAAGTCCTATTGTAAGGTGATTAAAGTATATGAAAATGAGACTTTAATGTATCTCACCTGTATCTGGTATTTTTGTTTTCCACCCAAGTTCTCCATAGAATTTACTAAATAATTCTCCAATTTTAAATTCATCCATGAGTCTAGAACTTCTCAAAGTCTGAAATAACTAAAAAAGGAAATCACATGTTTTAAGGTAGAAAGTGAAGGCTTCCCCTATCACAGCGTGTCTGTATGCGGCCAAGTTTCAGGCTCACATGCCTGTGGCCGACATACACTTGGCATCTTAGGCCTCATATTTACCCAGACTAGTTGGAAGGTAGGGCTGAGGTGGGTGAAGGGGAAGGGCTGTCTAAGGTAATCTGATCCTCGCAAAAAACAGTAACGTGATCAGAACCATCACCTAAGGAGCACTCAAGACTAAGGACCAACCAGACCCAAAAGAATTCCAAAATAATGAACTCAGAAGTGACAAGAGGGAGGTGAGGGTGAACCCCACAACCCTTAAATACAAAGACCCACTGCCTCCACAGAGATCTGTCAAGGTGACCTTCTGGCCATTCCTAACACCATCAGGTTTCACTAAATGAAGGTGATGAACGGCAGAGTGGTAAATTCCTTACTTCCATTCCTCCTTCAGTCCTCTCACAATGCAAAGATCTCTTACTACCCAGGGATGTCCAAGGACAAGACACCAGGGCACGGTCAAGTGCTGGTTAGAAACACACACCTCACCAGTGAGTGGGTATGAGTCGGCCTCTCTGCCCTCCACTCTCAACCAAAGAAACCCCAAATTCCCATTTTCTGTCCTTCAAATTACATGTTTAATATAAAACGGTGGTACTTGTAAATATAAAATTACCTTAATAAGAAGGTCCAGGGCCGGAACTCTACATTTAGCAGTTCTATCTTTTGTATAAACACTGGTGCACGTGTTCTGCATTTCACAAAGAGACACACCAAACCATCATTAATACCTACTAAGGACAGCTCAAAGTACGTGCCTGAAAGGAGCAATGCCACTATCATTACCGGACATTGCAAACTTCAGTATGTACTACGAGTATAGCATGGGAGTCCACAAATACACAGATTAAAGATTACTGAAAACACAGATGCAATATGCTATGACAACAGTATCAACAATAACCAAAAAGTACAATGTAAATGGACACCTCAGCATGATTTAAATGAAAATAAATTACTCTTCACTCTATCTTACCTACTCCCACAGTACCTGCTGCCATATATCAAGAAAGAAGGAATGACGTATAAAAAAGACGACGAGAGAAATTCAGAGACTAATGCCTGGTACTACAGGCACTCTGGAACCAGAAGACCTGACTCCAAAATAGGGGTAAGGTTTTTTTCTCTTCTTTCTTTTCTTACCTTGTTACATTTTTTTATTATTGTACATCTTCTTTAGAGGTAATAGATTTTTTTAATATTTAAGTCTCATTTGTAAGCTAGAGAAATTAAGAACACATGCCCCACAGAGTTTTGGTAAAAGTCAAGTAAGACAAACCATCTGAAAAAAAAAAAAACTCTGTAAACTAGGAAGCACTCTACCAATATTCGCTACTCCCACGACGGAGGTAATTAGGATTCTAACCAAGACAGACTAGAAGTCAAAGGGAAAACGATAAAGACCCGTTCCTGAGGAAATGCCTCATAGTATATTGGGATGTCAGAAAAGCCATGATGCATTTTTACATAGAAAAACCCATCACTGGAACCAGCAGATGGCATAATGGTTACATCGCTGGACTCCCACGTGGCCAACCGTGGTTTAAGTCCCGGACGCCATAGCATGAAACACACCAAGTGCATGTGCACGTCCAGGATCACGAGAGGAAAGTGGAGGGGAAGAGACTACAGCTTAGCCATCCTCCTGAGGGGAGGAGTTTCGCTCTCTGTCTCTCTGAGTCTCTCTGGCAAGCGCAGGCACACTATAGCGAAATCTCTCTAAAAAAAGAAAAACGCGTCGTGACTTTTCTGATAACCTAATAGTTTACAATATGTCTTCTTATAAATACTCTGAGTACATCCTTCTTCATCAACGTTTTTTTTTCCAGTTTTTGCTATAGGGCACGTGCACTTACCAGAGAGTGAGAGTGAGAGAGGGCAATGAAGTGAGAACTCACTACCCCCACGAGAGACAGCCATGCCATAATCTCATCTCCTCTAATCTCATCTCAGGACTTTGGGTGTGCACACACATACGCCCGGTGTGATTCTCAAGCCTCTGGGTCTGTGACTCAAACCGTACAGGCAGCCGTGTGGGATCTAGCATCGTAACCTCCATCCCACCTGCTGCCTCACCTCAACGCTGACCTGAGGAGCGCAGGTTGGAAGAGGATGGGAGCCACAAGAAAGCCAAATTTTTTTACTTTCTCCTCACCAATGAGAACTTAGAAACTAAAGGAAATCCAAATCCTACCTAGTGTAGCTTCTCGAAAACCTCCCACTGCTCCAAAAATCTAAGCTATCAAGGACTTTTTTGTATTACCCCACATACAGAAAGTTTTCAAAATGTTTACCAAAAAATAATAATAGTAAAAAAGTAGTTTCTCTGACAAGGGCCTAGTTTATTAACTCTAAAAAGTAATGAATAGCCCAATTTGTATCTAACATAAACCAAGCAGAAATAAATAAACTCCTCAACAAGAAAAGGAAAAAGTGAAATAAAAGTCCAAGTTCTTTACACAAGTGAAAATAGATGTCAACAGAGGGGCCAGCAGGTGGCGTGATAGTTAAGGTGCTGAATCCCACATGACCAACTACATGGTTTGAATCCCAGACCCAGCAGCTTGAGAAACACACTGTGCATGTATGGCCAAAATCTCAAAGAGAATGCAGAAGGGACTAGACTGTGGCCATCCCCCAATGGATGATTTCTCACGACCCCCTCCTCTACCCCCGTCTCTCCCACGAGTACATGCGCCGTATGGCAAAAAATCTGAAAAACATGGACCAGCAGATGGTATAATGGTTATATCGCTGGACTCCCACATAGGGGACCAGAGTTTGAGTTTCAGAACTGGAGGCTTAAAACTCATGCTGGGCACGTGTGCATGCGTGCCCAAAATCCCAAGAGGAAAATAGAGAAGGTATTGTGGTACAGCCATCCCCTTGGGGGGTGATGTCTCACTTTCTATGTCTCTGCTTATCTCTGGCAAGCACACATGCCTTACAGTAAAAATCTCCCTACAAAAAAAAAAAAAAAAAAAAATCTAAAAAGTAAAACAATTTCAGTACCTATGAGGTGTGGTTTTTGTTCCTTACCTTAACATCAAGAGAGTAAGGCAAAATCTTCTGGCCTATTTTTTCTAAGAAAATATATAAAAATTTTAGGACTTCTTCTCTACAATCACGAAACTATAACAGAAGAAATACACATAGTAAGTATGGGTAAGAAGAGTCACTCCAACATAAAAGAATATACAAGAAGGATAAAATTAATATTGTCAACTTACTTCATCAATGTTAAGCGATTTCCGAACAAACACAAGCAAACCAAAGTCTTTGGAAAAAACTAAGGACGTCTGTAATGCTGGACAAAAAAAATAAATGAAAAGGTTAAAGGCACTGCAAAGAAGCATTTCATAAACCATCCTAGAAGAGTTGCATGAGTTTTGAGGAAGCCTTAGAAGGGATACAGCAGTAATTTAAGGCTGCTATGTAAAGACTAGGAAAGCAGAAAATTCTAGATGATGCTCCACGGGGATGTGATAGGCAGAATAATGCTCCCCACAAAAGTGCCCACATCCTAATCCCTGGAATCGCACCTGTGAACATGTTCATTTACTTGGCAAAAGGAAATGAAGGTGGTAGAAGGAACTAAGGTTGCCAATCTGGAGACCTTAAAAGGGGAGATCACCCTGGATTTTCTGGTGGGTGCTATACAATTACACAGGCGCTTGAAAGTACCAGGAAGAAGAGTGAATCATAGAGAAAGTAAGAGGGGAGAGAAGAGAGCCCAAACCTCTCAGCAAAGGGACTTCACATGCTGTTGCTCGCTCTGAAGATGGAGGAAGGGACTGAGACCCAAGGAAAGTGGGTGGCTTCTAGAAGCCAGGAATATCAGCAAAGAAACAAGGGCCTCGATCCTATAACCTGAGTGAGGAAATGCCATCTTCCCTCCAGTCTTCAGAGAGGAAAACCAGGTCTGTTACCCTGGTTCTAGCCTGGTGAGTCACTGCTAAGGTTTCTGACTGCAGAGCTGTAAGATTCACAAACCTGAGTTGCTTTAAACCATTCAGCTCATGGTAATGGTTAGGGCAGCAACAGAAAACTGTATAATACACTCTCATGGAATCTCTCGAATAAAAGGATGTATACGGTTGACAGAGAGTAAACTTGGAACTGCTTTAAAAGGAAAATACTAGATGAACAAAACTGAATTCCAACACTGAAATCCTGAGGATAGAAAGCAACCACATGATGTTGTTAGTTTATTTGGTTATTTCCCCATTATTACTACAAGGGGAATTGAAAGTTCATAAGGAAATGTAATTAAAGTACAAGTTGATTTCAGTGCAAAAAATCTTGAACTCTATGCAGTTTTTTCATATACATTTTCCATGAATTGTTTCGACAATCTCGCATACATTTTGACAAAACACAGGCCCCATGTAGCATCTCATGTAATGCCTCGTGTACATCATTTCTAAGCTGTATTCAACCCAACAACGGAGGAAGATAAAACTCACCTGACTCTTATACTAAAAAGGCAGGCCATGGAGAGGTCTGTGCGCTCGTTAAAAGAAATACATAAGTTTTCATACAATGACACGCTTACATTTTAAAATGCTGAAAAGAGGTCCTTTGCTACCAAAGGTTCTCATCCAGGTATCGCTAAAAAAGCTTTCCAGTTACGTTTCTGCAATCCTCAGAGTAGGAACAGCAAACAGAAGAGGTTGGAAAAGGCATAGTGGGTTTAGGAAAGATCAAGGTGGAAGCAACCGCTTCCTCTGGTCCTCTCCCCACACACACATTCCGAAGAGCAACGACTGCCATTAGGGTGACTTTCACCAACTCTATAGTTTTAAAATAAATTATTTTTTCTCTAGCGCTAGGGACAATAAGCAGTGTGAAAAATCAAATCACTTCTTTCGCACATCCACAGAAATTCACCCTAGAACCTAACCGCTGACTGCACGCACGTAGAACGGCTCCGGCCCGGTACCCACCCAGCTCCGCGGGGCCGGAGCTCAGCAAGCACTCCTGCCCCAGGCCGCGGATCAGCTGATAGCCGACCATGGCAGCGCCGCAGAGGTCCGTGGCGGACAAAGACTCCTGCAGCTGCAGCAGGTAGTCCTGCACACCAGATCCGGAGCCCGCCATGCCGCTCAGCCGTCCGGCGCACGCGCGCTTCTAGCCCAGACCGGAAAAGCTGAGAGGCGCGGGGCGGGGCTCCGGAGCGCGGGGCGGAGTTCCGGGGCGCAGGGCGGGGCTCCGGGGCGCGGGGCGGGGCTCCGGGCGCGGGAACCTTCAATAAGACTATCGCGAGAAGGTCTTCCTAGACCGGACTTGAACTACCCTGTGGCAAATTTACGACTGCGTAGCGCACAGAACGCTTAGCCTGCACACATCTAAATTTAAGGAGCAAACGAATCCCCGGTTTGACCTGCGGAAATACATGGGAAGGACGCTTGGTGTTGGGCTTGGCAAAACACCAGAGGAAAACACAAAGCCAAGCTGGGAGCCTGGGTCAAGATGTCCAGTTTGTTCTCAGTAAAGAGTATAAGTGTGCTTGGAATGTCTTTGGAAGTGAAACAGGCCCGAGGAGCAAAAACTGATACTCCTGGCCAGTGCCGTCCTGAGGAGCACCCCTCTGAGACCAGGTCGGGTCGGCCTCCCCAGATTTCCCGCGAAAACTCGGTGGGAGAGCGGGTCAGACCAAGTGAACTGCGGAGGGGCCGAGCGAGCGGTGCGTCCGCTCCCGCAGGGCCCCAGGAGCCATTCGGCCCTCCCCGTCCGTGAGCAGTGGCGCCTCCCGAGGGCGGGGCCAGGCCAGAGCGGCGCTGTGATTGGTGCCGAGCGGGCTGGG